CCGGAACCCCGTCCTCAGCACCGCTCTTCCGACCCTCTCAATAGGCAAATACCCCCCACCATATGGCCTGGGCCGATAATCATGACTCCACCGCGCCCTTGGCCAAGCCCCATCCACCATCTTCCCTTCAATCGGCCGCACAGGCTTATACGCATCCGACACCTGCAACAGAAAGATCTTCTCCGCCGAAACCGTGCTCGCCAACTCCTCCATACTTTTCTCTAACCGTCGATCTAACTCCTCAATGGGCAAATCCTCAATTCGCCCAGTGGATGTGGTGGGATCACCCCATTCAGCCCCAGCTGTTTGGAACGTATCAAGACAGAGCCCGATATTAGGTCTATCGACGAGACGGACGATCGCCCAGACGTCTTTCCACGTGGGCGCGTGTGTAGACCAGCACCAGTTTTCATACGCAAGACGCATATTATGCGCTGCGAGGAGGTCACAGAGCTCACGGAGATCGGTGACGATGTTTTCTTGGGTTGCGGCGAGTTTGTCGAGGGGTGTGTCCGTTGAGCCGACCTATTATCATCCCATTAGTATCTTCAAACATACACTATCACCACCCCGTAATTTATATCAAATAGATAGATACAGAGGGAGAGAGAGATACCTGAAGTAAATCCGTCCCCGCCGCCCTCATAACCCCAATCCACCCTTTCGCTCTCGCAAACGCATCCTCCCTCTCCCTCGATCCCCGCGGCCAGCCCTCGAAGTTCGCGAACGGTTGCAACATCATCACCTTCAGGTCCCTGGCTTCGCATTGTTTGCGGATATCCTTTGAGACGGTGACCAGCTCGGGGTAATTGTCTTCTGCGACTTCGTGGCCGAGCACGGCTGGGGCGTAGGCGACGATGTCCGGGAAGGCGAGCTCGATTCCGGTGAAGCCCGCTTGGTGGAGGACTTCGAGTTTGCGGGGGAGGGTGTCGGATTTGGATGTGCCTATTGAGCAGGTTGCGTAGGAGAGGGGCATTTTGTTTATATCGGTGGGCATTTTGGGGGTTTGTTTCTTTTTAGGGTGGTAATGTGTCTTGGTTTGGTGGGTGGTTTGGTTTTATTGTTGGGGATATGGCTTTTGGATTGTCTATGTCTAGCTGTAGTATCTGTAATCTAATCTGTGGTATATTTGCTATATAGGGTCAGAGTCATAACTTAAGCAGTTGACGATCTTGTTTTCCATATGATGTAATGATGAGAGTCGAGGCCAGTTAGGGTTCGGAGCTCCACTTTGACTGCAGAACGCGCCGGAGATAAATTAAATCGCAGCAAAAGTACATAGTAGAGAGCGGACATATTTCATCGTGACGTCCCAGTGCCATGATGTAATCACAGTGTCTTGTTCCTAGACTACAAGTGAACAGCTTGTTCGCCACAATGCTATTCAAGTAGGCGCGGAATTCAGCGCTGGTCTTCAACACCAGATTTGACTCTCTAGATGATCATTTGCTTTCCAATCCGTGAAGCGCGACAATGCCGTCAACAGATCAGCACCAACAGTTCAAGCGCATTGGTATCGTGGGAGCCGGGAACATGGGCTCCATGATGGCCTTTGCGTTCTCGGAACTCGGTCTCGGCGTGTCCATTTGGGACGTCAAGAAAGCGAATGTGGACCAGCTCTTGGAATCGGCCAAGGAGGTCAAAGGTCAAGGAAAGATCGAAGGGTTTGAAGACATTGGCGACTTCACCCAGAGCTTGGAGGGCCAGGGAGAGCGGAAGCTGTTTATCTTCTCCATCACTCATGGTGACCCCGCGGACTCGGTTCTTGGTAAGATCAAACACACACTGAAGAAAGGCGACATTATCCTCGACGGTGGAAATGAACACTACCGGCGCACGGAGCGGAGGCAGAAGGAGTGCGAGGAAATCGGAGTTAGTTGGATTGGAACGGGTGTTTCCGGCGGATATCAATCCGCTCGTCGGGGACCGAGTTTGTCTCCTGGTGGTGATGAGAAGGCGCTGGACCTGGTATTACCGCTCTTGGAGCGCTATGCAGCCAAGGACCGCAAGACTGGCCTTCCGTGCGTAGCCAGAGTTGGTCCGGCGGGCTCGGGGCATTTCGTCAAGATGGTACACAATGGGATCGAGGGTGGCATGCTTTCAGCGGTTGCCGAGGCTTGGTCGATTCTTCATTACGGGCTAGGGCTCAAGTATGATGAGATCGGAGACATCTTTGATGAATGGAATCAGAAGGGCGAGCTTAGAAACAATTTCCTCCTCGACATTGGAGCTGAAATATGCCACCGAAGGAAATCTCCCAAAGGCGACGGCAAAGGAGAAGGAATCGGGGACAAGACTGAGTACGTACTTGATGATGTGCTCGACAAAGTGGTACAAGATGACGACGACACTGAAGGAACCCCCTACTGGTGTATTATGGAGACGGCCAATCGTCATGTCTCTGCGCCGACTATTGCAGCCGGTCATTACATGCGTATCGCCAGTGGTAACCGTGCGGAACGGCTGCGAGTGGCGGAAAAGCTGCAGATGCCACAGCCCAAGTCCATTGAGGGCATCAAAGACCGACGACTTTTCATTGAAGATCTCCGGCGAGCAGTCTACTGTTGCTTCCTGTCGTCCTTCTGTCAAGGTCTCGAACTAATTGCCCGCGCATCTGATGACGAAAAATGGGATATCGATCTTAGCAAATGTCTCCAGATCTGGCGTGGTGGTTGTATCATCCAGTCAGAGGCTATTGCCGATCTCCTACAGCCGCTGCTCAAAAAGAACGTGCACTATACAAATCTGAAAGACATCGACGAAGTCGCTCAAGACTTGAAGCAAAACTTTGACTCTCTCAAACGGATTGTGATTGACTCGACAGTGTTCGATCAATACATCCCGGCGATTTCTGCGACCTTGGAATACCTGAAATATGCAGGTGGGACGATGTTACCAACGAAGTTTATGGAAGCCCAGATGGACTTGTTCGGTGCCCATGCATATTACAAGCCAGGCGTTCCCGGTGAGGATCCAGGACCGGTCAAGAAAGGGCCTCATCATTATGAGTGGCGGCCAGCTTAGAATATGTGTGTAGTAGATCGTATCCAGTTCGTCTCGTGTTTCGGCCTGAAAATGCCACCTTTGGTGGGCATATTTATATTTCCTACTGTACAGTATTGACCTTCAAGCTGCAGGGTTCTTGCCAGCCTCTGGTAAGCCATATTATATATACATGCAAGGTGTAGATCATCGCAGTTCCCGCAAACATTAATTAAGCATAGCGTTATTCACACAGGATATCCATGGCTAATTTATACGTGACCAATGTTATTTGGACCTGTATACACGTTGTACCTTTCAGCGTACGTATTTCGCATTTGCAAAAGAATATGAATGATTGGTGCCTGGCTGCCTAAGGAACCGCCCACGTGGGGAATCTGATAAGGCGTGATTACCCAATCGGGGGAGAACATGACCCCGCCCTCAGAATTTATCGCCAAAGGAATTTCCAAATTGCATTGGATGCCCTCATTCCCTCTCCTTCGCCGTTCCCTCGCAACCTTCACAACTAAACCCCTCCGGAGAATCGAGTCTGCTAAGCAACTTGCCAAAAGAATGGCTTCTCTTCCTAACACTTACGCGGGTTCGTTCCCCCCTCATTCTGCGACATGAGCAGCGGATACTGACCCCATCGCTCGTGTAGACCCTGTCCGTATCGCGGTCATCGGTGGAACTGGTCTCCGTGAACTCCCTGGTTTCACTCAGGTTGCTTCCTTGAACATCTCGACTCCCTGGGGCACTCCCTCCTCCCCGATCACGATCCTGCACCACCAGTGCTCTCACAACAAGCAGACCGTCGCTGTCGCTTTCCTCAGTCGTCACGGCCAGCACCATCAGATTGCGCCCCATGAGGTGCCTGCCCGCGCCAACATCGCTGCCCTGCGCTCGATTGGTGTCCGCACCATCATTGCCTTCTCGGCCGTCGGTAGCTTGCAAGAGGAGATCAAGCCCCGCGACTTTGTGATCCCAGACCAAGTCATTGACCGTACCAAGGGCATCCGGCCGTTCACATTCTTCGAGGGAGGTGTGGTTGCTCACGTTCCATTCGGAGACCCATTCGATGAAGGTGTTGCCAAGGTTGTGAGGGCTTGCGGCCACAGCCTCGAGGGCGAGGGTGTTGTGCTGCATGACCGCGGCACATTGGTATGCATGGGTATGTAATTCGTCCAATCTGGTAGTTATGATAGGTGTCATTATGATCAGTTACTGACTCTCTTCTAGAGGGACCTCAGTTCTCCACTCGCGCCGAGAGCAATCTCTACCGCTCTTGGGGAGGCAGCGTCATCAACATGTCTTGTCTTCCAGAGGCGAAGCTGGCTCGTGAGGCCGAGATTGCCTACCAGATGATCTGCATGTCCACCGACTATGATTGCTGGCACGATGCTACCGAGGATGTCACTGTGGAAATGGTCATGGGAAATATGAAGGCCAACGCTGAGAACGCTAAGCACTTCGTCACTGCTGTGCTCGATGAGCTCGCCTCTGACAAGAACTCCGAACTCGTCCAAGCCAAGCACGTGGAAGGTTCTGTCAAGTTTGGTCTCAGCACTGCCCAGCCCAACTGGAGCCCTGAAGCCAGAGAGAGGATGAACTGGCTCTTCCCTGGATACTTCAACTAATTGCTTTGCCATTAGAGATTGTGCTTGAACATACCAACATAGACATATTCCCCTTGTGATAGATGTTTATAGTTGATTATGAACTTATGAAATAAAGCCTGTGCCAATGATGCATTTTTCATGACTCTTCTCATTCTGTTCTTCTTTATTCGTCATAGCAACGTGTTATCACTTTCACTTTTCATCACATCAAGGATTGGCAGCGAAACAAACAAATATTCACTGAGTGTTAGCCTTGTCGCCGAGAGCTTATGCGCACAACATGATACAAAGAGGTTGATTATGTCGGCGTTGCCTATCACACGCAAGAATTCTTTAACACATACACATACTCTGATGAATTCTTAGTCCTCACCATATACTCCGTCAGCCACAACCATGGACTACATCATCGATCCGGAAGGAGATATGCTCCTGTTTGTGGAGGAATGCTCTGGGAACCTTCATCTAGATCTGGTTCAAAAGGGTAATCGACTCAGACTGACTGAGCTTTGTTGACAGATACACTAATCTTGTGTTGTGTACTAGAAGCTTCAACCCCCGAAACTCTCCCTCTAGAGTCTAGTTCGGATGTGCAGGCAATTGATGAGCCGGCTCTGAGCCCAACTCAGTCCCAGTCTGAGCTCACTTTAGATCACGCTTCCTCCGCTGGTAACAGTCGTCAGGCTGCCGCGCTGGCTAAATCAGTGATGCTCAAGATTCGTGTCTCTTCAAAACATCTGACCCTTGCCTCATCGTATTTTCGCCAGAGGCTCGTCCCAGAGACAGTCGATCATAGACCAGTCGAAAAAGACGTGGTCCCAGCATGCGTTGAAGATGTCGATGCTTTGCTCATCATGCTCGACGTCATTCATGGTCAAACCAGGAAAGTGCCGCGTTTTATTACCTTCAAGCAGTTGTTCATGGTTGCGGTGGTCGTGGAGCACTATGAATGCGTAGAAGCAATGGAGCCGTTTGCTCAGATGTGGACTGAGAATCTCAAAGCCGATATCCCTTCAGTGTATTCAGAGGAATTGGTTAAGTGGATCGGTGTCGCTTGGATCTTCCAACTGGAGGGTTTGTTCAAAAAGACTACTCGTACTGCCATCCGACGATGCACCGGGCCAATCTCCGCCGTGGACGTTCCAATTCCACTTGCGTTAATCGGTGAGCGCTTATCGTATCTCCTTGTCCAATACTGCGACGGATAGATGCTAATGACATTATGGAAACAGAAGAAATTGAGTATTCGCGGCAGAGCACCATCGACGACATAGTCGACCGTCTTTTCAGGCGAATCAACTGGGAGCTCATGCCTGACACCAGCCTCTATTGCTGCAACGACTGCGACGCAATGGTACTCGGAACTCTCGTGCGCCAGCTGAAGGTTCATGAGCTCTACCCTCTGCCATTGCCTCCTTTCCGAGGGCTCAGTATAGATTTCATGGTGCAAACATTGACCACACTGCCCGAGCCCCGTTGCCATGAGCTGGTTCACCCAATCTGCAGCAAGCTGTCCAAGTGTCACCTTATGCCGAAGGCGAAGGACTTGGTGGAGAAAGTGGACAGACAGGTACAAGGTCTCTTGCTCAGAAACGCCCACTTCTGACCGGCATACAGCCAGCGCACGACTTGAGATTCATTCTATCTGTAGGTCGTCGAGGCAGGATAAACGTACGAGAGGAATACTTCCGGTGATTTGTTGATAGTGAAAGGATTGGGATTTGGTCTGCGAAGCCGACATATCTATCATAAGGAATTTGGGATGCGGTGGATCTTCAAGATCGATTTGGAGTGACTGACTTATGATAGTTCACCCTGTTGCATAGCCGGATTGTATCTCTTATTAAGCTAGTTGGTCGGCGACAGGCAATGCAGTATTGTAAACAGTGCAGTCTTCCATTTCGACCCGCCTATGGCACGATTGATTTAAATGGCCAAGACGGCCGGGCGTCAACGCCACCCAGCTTGGCTTGAAATACTCCGGATGAATAATCATGACATTAGCCTATAGGAGAAAATTGACAAGGTACAACACGGAGGATAGTTGTCGCTGATAGGTGGAATCAATTCCTCAACGAATTCGGAGCAGTTGGGTGTCTCCTTTTCCAGTCTCTGTCGACAAACATCAGTGTCGGACTATCGCTGCCTTTCTAGGATTAGATACCGAGACATTACTTGCAGTCTATTTATTTTTAGACTCGTCAATCGGGAACTAGTGGTGCTTTAATTTCCAGCATTTCTTCTTGCGCGTTGAGATGGATCACAACCTTGGTGTCAGTGCTATACCGTGTGGCTGTATAGGGCTATTGCAGGTCACCCTTTGGCCGGTCACATGAAAGTCTCCCAGAGATATGGAGACCGACAGAAACATGTTCAAGAAAAACATGGAAATGAACTCTCAAGAGAGAAAATAGAACAGAGAACGTCATTCCCCCTGACGATCGAAGGATCCTTCTCAGGTGATCGACAGGTACTCTTGCTGTTCACGGCCCTGACCTGTTCGACTCGCAGTTTAACCTAACATTTAACCGAAGCGATCGTCCCCTCTCGGTGGTTATTGTGCAAGTTATGAACCTTACTACCATATTAACCAGTTTATGTCGTCTGACCACTCTTATACTTTCCTGTTAAGCGGGGTATGTACAAGTCCGACTTGAGCTGTACATTTGGCTTCGATGATCACACCCTGTTACGGTGCATATCTTTACCGGATGGGCAAATGGACAAGCAGCTAATCCAGACGGCCCACCACCACCGGTGCGGTGTTCTGCAGGTTCACGGATTCGTTGCCGGATTGGACTAGCCCTGACGACCACTGGCTCTGGGCATGCTGTCATCTTACTCGATAGTTCTTCAGTGTGTCGCAAGGATCAACATGGGGGAGCCAATAGATGCCCTTGGCACGCGAGCGCGGGCTGCGCGCCGCATTCCGGCGTTATTTCAACCCTGGCTTAGCCTGTATTGTGACCACTGTGCAGCACACTGCTCTTGGTGGATGATACCGACAGCCTTAAATCCCGATCCCATGACCGACCACCCTACTCTGCGGGCTTCCGATGTATCGCTATAAAGATACGCCCCCCCTAACTTAATGACGCCTTATCGGTAGTCGGCTGTTGGCCTCTAGTACTCTACCATGGATGTCTTCCCGGCCTATTTGGCTCTTTGGGCTTACTTGGTCCCCGGGGTTCTGTCCGCCCCCGGGGCGGAGACTGTGACACCACGAGCCTCTACAGAAGCTTACTCCCCTCCATATTACCCGGCCCCGAATGGAGGATGGGTCTCCGAATGGGCCAGTGCCTACGAGAAGGCGCACCGTGTCGTAAGTAACATGACCTTGGCCGAGAAGGTGAATCTCACTAGCGGTACGGGTATCTTCATGGGTCCTTGTGCCGGCCAGACGGGCAGTGCTCTCCGGTTTGGGATCCCTAACCTGTGCCTTCATGATTCGCCTCTCGGAGTCCGCAATTCGGACCACAATACGGCATTCCCGGCCGGCATCACGGTTGGGGCAACTTTTGACAAGGACCTGATGTACGAGCGCGGAGTCGGTCTTGGCGAAGAGGCGCGAGGAAAGGTATCAACGTTCTGTTGGGCCCGTCCGTGGGCCCAATCGGGCGGAAGCCCCGGGGAGGCCGCAATTGGGAGGGGTTTGGGGCAGACCCCAGTCTACAGGCCTTTGGGGGCTCGTTGACCATCAAAGGAATGCAAAGCACCGGTGCCATTGCCTCGCTCAAGCATCTTATCGGCAACGAGCAGGAGCAGCATCGGATGAGCAGTGTTGTCACGCAGGGTTATTCGTCCAATATTGATGACCGGACTATGCATGAACTGTACCTGTGGCCATTCGCCGAAAGTGTAAGAGCCGGTGCTGGTTCGGTCATGATTGCGTATAACGATGTAAGCTCATCTCCGCACCTTCGCCCCGGACAGATTGACTAAGTAGATCGTAGGTGAATAGATCCACCTGCAGCCAGAATAGCATGCTCATCAATGGAATCCTCAAGGACGAACTGGGCTTCCAGGGCTTTGTCATGACCGACTGGCTGGCTCACCTTGGTGGGGTTTCGTCTGCGCTGGCTGGTCTGGACATGAGCATGCCGGGGGACGGGGCCATCCCTCTCTTGGGCACGAGTTACTGGGCGTGGGAGCTGTCGCGCTCCGTGCTCAATGGCTCGGTCCCGGTTGAGCGTCTGAACGACATGGTAGGAACTCGACGCGACTACTTTTGCCTTTGGCTAATGCGAAGAATCGCAGGTCACGCGAATTGTCGCAACATGGTACAAAATGGGGCAGGACAAAGACTATCCGCTACCAAACTTCTCCTCCAACACCGAGGATGCGACTGGACCGTTGTATCCCGGCGCCTTGTTTTCCCCGAGTGGCGTTGTCAATCAGTACGTCAATGTCCAGGGCAACCACAATATCACGGCTCGTGCGATCGCCAGAGACGCAATCACGCTGCTGAAGAATAATGATAATGTCCTGCCTCTGAAGCGGAATGACAGCTTGAAGATCTTCGGCACCGATGCCGGCACCAATCCGGACGGAATCAACTCTTGCGCTGATAAAGGCTGCAACAAAGGCGTCCTGACCATGGGCTGGGGAAGCGGGACCTCCAGACTGCCCTATCTCGTTACGCCGCAAGAAGCGATAGCGAATATCTCATCCAATGCCGAGTTCCACATCACGGACACGTTTCCATTGGGCATCTCCGCAGGCCCCGATGACATTGCAATTGTCTTCATCAACTCAGACTCCGGCGAGAACTACATCACCGTGGACGGCAATCCAGGAGACCGTACGTTGGCAGGGTTAAATGCGTGGCACAATGGTGACAAGCTTGTCAAAGCCGCCGCCGAGAAGTTCTCCAACGTAGTCGTGGTGGTGCATACCGTAGGACCCATCCTGATGGAAGAATGGATCGATCTAGACTCCGTCAAAGCGGTGCTCGTCGCTCACCTACCGGGACAGGAGGCAGGCTGGTCACTAACCGACATTCTTTTCGGGGACTACAGCCCGAGCGGCCATCTGCCCTACACCATCCCTCGTAGTGAATCCGACTACCCAGAGAGCGTCGGGTTACTTGCTCAGCCATTCGGGCAGATCCAAGACGACTACACCGAGGGCCTCTACATCGACTACCGACACTTCCTGAAAGCAAACATCACCCTCGCTACCCATTCGGCCACGGCCTCTCTTACACCCAATTCAACTTCACCGAACCCAACCTATCCAACATCACACCCTTAGACACAGCCTACCCCGCCGCACGACCCCCCAAAGGCTCCACGCCAGTATACCCCAACACCAAGCCAGCCGCGTCCGAAGCCGCCTGGCCCAAGAACTTCAACCGCATCTGGCGCTACCTCTACCCCTACCTCGACAACCCGGAAGGCGCAGCCGCCAACTCCTCCAAGACATACCCCTACCCAGACGGCTACACGACGGAGCCCAAGCCCGCGCCTCGCGCCGGCGGAGCCGAAGGAGGCAACCCGGCCTTATGGGACGTGGCCTTTTCGGTCCAGGTCAAGGTGACGAACACGGGGTCTCGGGATGGCCGTGCCGTTGCGCAGCTGTATGTCGAATTACCCAGTAGCCTGGGACTGGACACGCCGTCTCGACAGCTGCGGCAGTTCGAGAAGACCAAGATCTTGGCAGCGGGGGAGAGCGAGGTGCTTACGTTGGATGTCACGCGCAAGGACCTGAGTGTGTGGGATGTTGTGGTGCAGGACTGGAAGGCGCCTGTCAACGGGGAGGGCGTTAAGATCTGGGTTGGAGAGAGCGTTGCGGATTTGCGGGTTGGGTGTGTGGTTGGACAGGGGTGTTCTACTTTGTAGGTAGTTGGGTTGGTTTATATATGTTGTTGTTCAGGGTGTCTGTCACTTTTGTCTTATACGTGGGAGTTATATAGGGTTGTAATGTTCTTTTCTTTTTTTTCGCATATATTACCAATATTTGGATGTCTTCGAGAGGTTGATCAAATAACACCGTACGCAATCCAGTGCATATGTATTGACTAGGCAGTGTGTTTAGAGAACAAAAACACAATGATACAGCAATCAAACAGGATCAACAAGAACAATAAGATGAGTAGGTCAGGGCAAAAGGAAATCGACAAGCGTGGGATTCACCACGCCAGTTACATGACAGAGGCTTTGGAAGCTCGCACACACTACCTTGGCAATAATACCAAAATCTAAGACCAGGGCCTGTTTTGATACTCCCTGTTGGAGCTCAATAAGCACCAGTCATGTAGATGCGGTTGCTTCAAGACCAATATACAGAAACATTATACCTTGGGTTCGAGCCGATTCGTGACGGGACATGCTTCCGTATGGGCTACTGGTTTCCATTCTGAGCGACTTAGGCGTGATATGTGTGGCGTAATCGTTGGATGTTAGCTTGGCAGCCCCATTTCTTTGTTATCTTGGGCATTCTAAATATTCTGTTTCTTATATGCTTGTGATGGTTAGTCGTGAATGAACAAGCTCTTGTGGGGCGGGAAACAAACGAAGGCTAATACAGATGACAGGACACTATACCATCCACGGACTAGCGCAGATCTGCAAGCGGGAGACCGATTGAACATTGAAGTGATGCACCAATCATGATATTCAAATCATTATGAGTGAATCTGACTCATGGCTTGGCCGAATCCAAGTGGATCCCGTTTGCAATGTGATTGGGGGCCTGAGTATAGAAATTGTGGTCGATGCAATATTTATACCACCAGTATACCAGATGCTCTTGAGAAGTATCCCGACAGTCAAAGCTCCGGCTTCCTCAAGGCCCTCGATTCCTATAGAGGTGAGCTTGTCAACCGACGACTGATATCGAAAGTCGTCTATCACCTTGTTTTCCTGCAGTTACACCGAGAAGTCTATGTAAAATGCTCGCGATCATGAAGAGCTTTTTCACTAAGAGCAAACTGCTGGAGAAACCAACCTCCGACATGTCTCCCGACTTAATGAAGGAGGAGTCCTATTCAACTGGAACCCTCAGACACTCCCAGGGCGGCGACCAGCAAGACGAGACTCAATATCCCGGACCACTCAAGCTGACTCTCATCGTGCTAAGCTTGAACCTTGCCATGTTCCTCGTAGGACTCGATAATACCATCATTTCGAGTGCCATCCCGAAGATTACTGACCAATTCCACGCCCTCAACGACGTAGGCTGGTATGCCAGCGCCTACCTCCTCACGAACTGCGCCTTCCAATTGGTCTGGGGGAAGCTGTTCACCTTCTACGTCGTAAAATGGGTCTACCTCACGGCACTGTTCATTTTCGAATTGGGATCGCTGATCTGTGCCGTAGCCCCTAGCTCGACAGCTCTGATTGTAGGTCGTGCCATTGCAGGCATCGGTGGCGGTGGTGTCGGAAACGGTTCCTTCCTGCTCATCGCTCACTGTGTGCCGCCACGCCAACGTCCGGTGCTCATCGGCATGATGGGCTCCATGTACGGCATTGCGTCAATCGCAGGCCCTCTGATGGGAGGTGCCTTCACGGACAACATCTCCTGGAGATGGTGTTTCTACATTAACCTGCCTCTTGGGGTGCTTCCCGCTGTCATCATTACCTTCTTCATCGCCTCCTTCCGCGGTAGCAACAAGGGCGAGGTCGGTTTCCTCAACCAGCTCAAGCAGATGGATCTCGCAGGCACCGCGTGTCTTTTGCCCGGTGTCATCTGCCTGCTGCTCGCCCTCCAGTGGGGCGGCTCCACCTACCCCTGGAAGAATGGCCGCATCATCGCTCTGTTTGTGCTAGCCGGCCTTCTCTTCATCGCATTCACTGCCATCCAGTATAAGAGCGGAGACCGTGCAACAGTCCCCAGCCGTGTCTTCAGCAACCGCAACGTCTGGGGGTCTGCTCTATTCGGATCCTGCGTGACAGCCAGCTTCTTCCTATTGCTATACTACGTTAGTTGCCCACAATCCCCCAAAGACACGAACGAACGTCGCTAACCCAGACCCCAGATCCCAATCTGGCTACAAGCCGTCAAGGGAGCCAGCGCCATCAAGTCCGGGATCATGAATCTGCCCATGCTCCTGGGCAGCGTGATCTTCTCCCTGCTAAGCGGTGTCCTCACCTCATTGATTGGCTACTACATGCCCTTCGCCTACCTCACCGTGATCCTCATGTCCGTAGGCAGCGGCCTCCTATCCACCCTGCAAGTCCACTCCGGCCATGCCCACTGGATCGGCTACCAGTCCTCGTCGGCGCCGGCGTGGGCAGCGGCCTGCAGACGGCCTTCGCCGCCCCGCAATGCGTGCTCCCCCTCAAAGACATCCCCATCGGCACCGCCGTCGTCATCTTCACAGAAAACCTGTCCGCCGCTGTCTTCGTCTCCGTCGCTCAGAACATCTTCTCCAATCAGCTGAGAACCAACCTGGCCACGTACGTGCCTGAGGCTGACGCGAGTGCTATTTTATCCGGCGGCGCCACCGATATCAAGAACCTCGTACCGCAGCACCTCTACCAAGGTGTGCTGTTTGCGTATAACAAGGCCTTGGATCAGACGTTCTATGTGGCGGTCGCGCTGTCCTGTTGTGCCGTGCTGGGAGTTCTTGGTATGCAGTGGGTGTCGGTCAAGAAGAGCAAGGATGGTACGCCATCTTAATATATAGACTTAAATCGGTACTTAGTTAGTTTAATGTTTAATTAGACCTTTACGAGTCGATACGTTTCATGCCAATATGTTCTCATGAATCTGTGCGTAGGATAAGGATTTATATTAGCATCACTGTTGTCATCATGTAAATGAAGATGATAAACCATATTTAGGCCCCTAATAAACTTATAAACTTATGACTCAGTGCCGGAGTTCTCCTCGTTAAGGTCGGGCCTGAACTGAATGATTGACTCATACGGGGACCGTCGTATGAAATCGGCCATTTTGCTCCGGTTGGAACTTATGGGGTTCCGTATTCCCTTTCTGTTGGTTGAAACAATTCTCTCTACTTTAGTTACTGGATCCCTGTCGCCCGTCATCATGTTTGGATATGTGGTTAAGGATCAACGAACCAGGGATAGACTACAGTCTTGATATTCAGGAAATAGACTATTCAAACATCATTTTACATACCCCCACCCTAAACTTAACGCTTCATGCTGGAACAAGGAAGATAAAACCACCGGAACTCACATCCACAGAAAGAAAACCCGGAAAAGAAAACCAAGAGTACCAGTCCATCCCTTCCCCCCTTAGACCTCCCTCACAGTCTCAAATGAACAAATTAACAACCCTCCCAGAAACAGAAAGAATGGCCCCCAACCCAGGCCAAGACATCTCCTCCAACTCACTACCTTCCCCCGATACCTTAACCCACGATCCAACCTCTCCAAAACCCCAATACCGGGTCGACAAGAGACAGAGACGGACACAGACACACCACCAGTCTACGCGCTCATACACCCAGCGACAGCTCGATCAGATCGTCCGCGTGCAAGCCGAGCTGCAGAAGGTGAAGGCTGAGTGTGAGGCGCTGGAATTGTATGTTTGTCAGTTGGAGGGGGAGAGGGAGTGGTTGAGAGGGATTCTGAGGGAGATTCCGAAGGGGGAGTAGGTTCTTTTCTTTATTGCTTTTTGGGCTGTGGAGATGTTGTGTACTAGGAAATATATCATTGCCTCGCTGTGTATGTTGAAAGACTTTAGTTTGATTGTGTGGGTGGAGACTGTTGTAGGTTAATGATGGGTTTCCCCTCATCAGTGGTGAAAGAGTATTGGAAAGCAAAGCATAGTCCCTGTCATGTTTGACGACGCATACCACACAGTCAGACTTAGTCAGAAACACCTTACTGTTGACCAATGATTCGAAGTACCGAAGAGCTGAATATAAATGTCCTGTCGTGCTTCTAGGGCTGTTGGTCCACGTGGTATGTGTCACAGCCATAGAACAAGTGCTTATGCGTTTCGAATATCCAGTCCTCGATATGAATAAAGATATGGCAAACAAACGAAAACCTTAACAAAAAAAAAAAAAAGTTGATTACGCCTATCTCGTCAAACCAAGACCACGATATCCCTGTCATTAAACAGAGACCCGAACTCAACATGACATCCAATACACGTGAAAACAGCCGAAAAGCAGGGATCACGAAAGAGCAATTCCAAATATCAAAAGCAAACATCGTAAGCATGAATATGCAAAATATCACACTTGCGCCGGGGAAACGGAATGCAATCGATTCGTCAAGACATTGGAACTGTGACCCTCACGCCGGAATGGGGTACATCGATCGTGAGGGGACGCAGATGGTGGCGTCTATTACATCGTAAATATTATGCTTCAAAACTCGTTGTTGGCATTCTTGGATTTTCTCAAGCGTGGGTTGATATGAAGATGGCTGCGCTTAGAGCCACGCTGGCCGTGATGTATAGTGCGATGTCCGTCCTGGAGATGATGAGATCGGTGTCATCATGGGTGTTCATGAGCTTGGTCGACTGCTTGAGCATTTTGTATGTTTCACAGAAGACTTCGGGGGCCTTCGAGGTGGGAATCTGAGGGTGACTGGATTCAGCGAGGAAAACTGCGCTGTTTCTTTGCACGCTCGAGGACGATGCAACTAATATCGGATTATCCTGCACTGGATCTCCTCTCCTATATATCTGTGTTGCTGACTTCCCACCTGCTGATGATCAAATCTTATCTCCGTCCTTTTCTGAATCTTCAAAGTCCCCCGGAGGACAAGCGTACAAGGATGCGACTGTGAAATTAGCCAATAAGCCCCCCTCAAGGTAGACCCTTTCCTAACGCACGGTGACGGCTGTAAGCAAGACTGTTTTAATCAGTTTCATCAGTTGGTATCCTCATTTGGACGATAGCGGAGTAAGAGTGGGTCAATTCAGGTCTCATGTTGAGCCTTATCCCTTGAGTCGATCATGGTTGGCTGTGGCACTAGTCATTCGAGTCGGGTTAGCTGCAGGGCTACTGATTGGGAAATGGTGAGTGATAAGATAGAGCATTATATATGCGTCAAGCGCGTCACAAAAAATGTATATGCAAGGAGAGACCTCGCTTAAATCGCTCGATTTCCCTCATCCCTACGCCTCATCCTCCGCTCGAAGAGATGAGGTGAAATCGCCTTTCTCGCTATGTTTTTATTCTAGGGGGCGCGTCAACGCGTCAATATGTTTTCTAACTCCTAGTTAGCAAGAGGTATATAGGGGGCTTGGCTGGTTCCCTAGAATACTGCCAACGTGATCCACAGCCGCAGGATAGGGCCTCTGAATCCTTCGGTTTTAAATACATATGTAGTATAGAATAGTCTATACTCTATAATACAATACTACTACTATTCAACCCTATCCTAGATCCATGGGATACCAACCTTATAATTGGTAGTGTGATTCAAAAGGCATATCCAAAGCCTGGCCCTCGGTTGTTTTGAAGAGATTCTGACACCGGACAGGCAGAAACATAAGTATCAAACACACTCTCCATAGTAACATACTTCCATAGATCTACACTGCGTACCCTTATTATGTGCCATTTTGATATAAGGATCTTCCGTTACTATGAATGGCGTTACGACCATGCTTGGACTCAGGATATTAAGGCCACGGAACTTTTCAAGGCATCACAAATCTGCTACACTCTACACATAAAAACAACGCATAGCATGCAAACTTTTGCAAACTATGATATGGGCCTATAATGTCGTGTATGAAGTCATAAGTAAACTCGGAAGACAATTTATTTGAATATTGTATTCGCGTAAACCAAAAATTAGCACCATCCTACGATAGAAAGGATCACCCAACTAGCAAGCATGTCAAATATCCCTAACCTTTATGAGAGCCCAGTTTACAAGATTTGAAGTAAATTAACTAGATCTGGCAATTTGTTTAGTTTATCGATATACCCTTGTTGTCTCACTGAGAATAACCCATACTTAGGGTGAATTAAGAGATGGAAAATGGTATTACACTATCACAAACCCATATCTACATGTCTATAGCATGGTCAATTATAGCTAGCCCACTTTTATTTCCATAGACCTGACTCATGTATCGTAAGTGCTTCAAAGTGTCGTTCGTATGAGCCACTGTGATCCAGTATGAGCTAACATGATCCAGCATGAGCCACGATGAGACATTATGAGCCATCCCCAGCTTGTGAGGGGATGATTGGTGCGAGGCTAGAGGCTAGACAACTCGGCTTGCAGTAGTGGACCTTGGAGTCTGTGGAGCAGAGCGGAACTGCACAGTAAATTTAGTGGGCCCCACTGATGTTTTAGCGTTCCCCCACAGTAGCAATCTCCAGGTGGGACTGAGATAGTGAGATGCGCATGTATACACTCGTTAATCGAATTTAGAATAGACATACAGAATAGACTGTTTCAATGACTGGAAAGAGGCCATAGAATGCCATTTCCCTGTGATTTACTTGGGTCTACCCGACAGGAGTATGAACCTTACGTTATATACTCTGTGAAGTACTGTACATATGCATATACCCGTAAAGTGAAGAGAATAGCATTGACCATTTTCCTGGCCCTTGGCCTCGGACATATGACTTTCAGGCAACATTCTGCGACTCCACTGTCTGTGATTTCAGGGGAGTACGCCTTATCATCCACTGAAGAGTGGGCCTCATCTTGGCCCTGAATCACGTTACATCAAAGGAGGGCTTAGTAGACCAGGTTAATTACATGATCTGGAGCCTCGTGGGGAATGGCTACCCCGGCGATCTATCTGATAGGCCGTACTGCGTAGTACGATCCTCGGTATGACAGCCGGTAGTCAAAGAGTATACAGATATCTCGTGAGACTTGTTTGCTTCTGTGTCTTGGATGGGATATAAAAGCAAGCAAGCTACTACTTCCTACTAGTTCTCTCTTGCATTCCTCTCTCATTCTTTTCCTCGTTCTCGAAATGTTTGAGGATAGGTGCTGCTGTCCTCTCAAGATCTACCTGGTAAGTCAGAATGCTTAGTACTTATTACACACTGCCCCATACCGTGATTAGACACTATTTTGCCGATGTGAATGTCATCTATCAGAGATAATGATCACACCATACCTTGCTTTGGAAGAGCGACATCGTCTGAGATTATCTTTAAATCTTGCTGGTTTCTGCCCACGCTTGACTGTTGACTCCCGTGCTAACAGTTTGAGTCCTGACTAGGTTTGCGCTCGTATAGTTTCTACTATCCACGGAATGAATGTATGTTTTATCCTCGAATTCCATTTTATATAGGGGGATATAGATACTAGATACTCCCTACGACATTTGAAGATAGAAGTTGGAAATCTTTTACCCTAGGGCGACTGCTGCATGTAGAGCACATGTCCAGCAAGCCCTAACCATGGATAGGGAGACGGCGGGGAAATCCGGCCAATTGGTGTGAACAAAGCATTGAAAGGAGGTGGAGAAGATGTTGCCTCGTATTTATAGATTTCTTTAATAATAGGAAACAAGATTCCCCTTCTCTTTCCACTGAGTTCCCAAGGGAATAACCTACTATACTTTAAGCTCCCAGTTAGTCTTTTTTTTCTCTCCCCTTGCGTAAGAACTATAACGGTCACATAATTTCCCACATATACCAATAATCAGATCTCCACCCTCCCTAAAGCTTTCATACAACCGCTATTTGCCTACAGGTTGACCACTTTCGGCAGTGACGGAAACTTATGTTGTCAAATTAGGGCATCCAGAGTAATGATGAAGAACCATGGAAGGAGTAGGTGTCATGATGACTGTCGCCATTGCTTCCCACTTCAATCGGGCATGTGCCCACAGAGAAATCATATTCAAAGCGTGACAGACGAATCCCCAGATTGACAAAGGTTGGGATCAATGTTATTCCCATTTATAAGCTTCCGGAATCTGCCCTACCTTTTCAATTTTGGTCGCCGTACTTTATCTTGGTCTTGATCTTGGATCTTTTGATATTAAAGATAATGTTTCTATTTCATTCCAGGGGATATGAGCTGCAGAGCTGAGCGAGAAAAGATTGGGGGCGACACGGGTTGCACTCCGTATATAGGGAAGGATTGGTAGGTACGTGGGCAATGAAAATAGATGAGGAATTCCCTCGTTCGGTACAGCACGATATATACCCCTCGGTTAGTATCTTTAGGTGAGGCGGGATATCAGTGACTGTATTTCTAGACATAGTTCATTGGTGGTTGAAGCAACACCCGAGGGAATAGGAAGTCTTATTTGGAATAGTCCATTGCTATGATAACTGGCTAGGAGAATGACATGGCTGCCAGGGCCCTAGCCCTAGACATCGGCGTGCTGACAAAGTTGCAGAATAGGGCCCGCTAAGGAAGTGTCTTATACTAGGGGGTTTCGATGCTCAGGGCCCTCTATGGAATTCCCACACTAAACAACATATTAATGCAGCACCACCAGAAGATCTGATCCAGAACTAAGCCCCTTGGCCAGTTGGCTAGTCGATAACAAATACCAATACAGCGTCAGATCACGAGCTGATAGTCCTTGCTGGACGGATTTAGAAACAAGGTCTATTGAAACCAATAGACCGGTTACTGAGTGGCAGATTCAGAAGTGTCGGGCCTGTGGTCTGGACTTCACAACGAGCGGTTTTCTCAAAGTTGGGTAGTATAGAAAGCGCAAACCGCCTTATTGGTGAAATATTAAAATTAAACGAGTCATTCACAGGGCGAAAGGCGTTCCGCTAGAACTTTCGGCGATGGATTCTTCGAACATGATCCCTCATGTTGTCCATACGGCTAAATAACCGTGTGCATTGCTCGCCTTGTTGATTTCGCCAGTGGCACCTGATTTCAGGTTTATGCTTGGCCTCATGTCTGTCTCGATCCTTTCGAGTGGTAAAGCCCCCTTTACTAGGGCTCTGCGCGTCAGGCTCTGACTGGGGACAGTTCTCGTAGTGGCAAAAGAATCTTTTGACGTGTTGGTGATAGTGTCGTCGAGAGCCTTGTGCGGTTGTGAGACGCGCCGTCGATCTGTATCCGGGAACTGGACGCTTAGCGTGTGAAAGAGAGGTTGAATCAGCAGGCGTGGTGTGGACGAAAAGGAGCTCGGGGGGTGAATTTGGATGGTGGCTGCTGCTTCCAGGGGAAGAAAGGACCGGCTTGTCGCGAGCAGGTCCCATGGGTACGTCAGGAATGTGTGAGCACGTTGGAGTCAGAGGTTCTGAGGGGCTTGGAAGAATAGGAGGCCCGAGAAGACCTGGTATCTGTGGCTCAGGAAAGCATTTGAGACCTGATGTATCGATAATACATGGCATTGATGAGCTTGTAGAGTCCCCGAGGCCTGGAGAGTCTATTGTCCATGGTATCGAGGGATCCTTGGAGCTTGAAGAGTTCATTGTCCATGTCGTTGACGGGTATAAAGTGTGGCCAAGGGCAGAAGCATCCATAACCCACTGAGTTGGTGGTTCTGGCACTTCACTGCGCCTTGACGGATCCATGAACCATTGTAGCTGCGGCTCTGATAGTGGCTCAGGATGAGGCCACGTAGGTATGCTCCGTGAAATATCGAGGGAGACAGCTCGATTGGGTAGTGGCAAGGCCATCCACTGCTCTTCTTGGACGTCGTAGTTATAGTTCATTGTAAAGTATTGGTCTGATCGGCACGGCACAACAGGGGTATGTGGATATATCTATCATCAAACTTCCAGCGGGGTACAGAAGCTATCCTCTTGTATCAGGCTGACTTTGCATTTGCGAGACTGGTATCCTATTCTGGCCTAAATTCCATGCAGTGGGCGAATCGCTGCGCAAATTCCCAAGGAACCGAGTATGATGGCGAACCCGCGTACGTCGCGAGTATAAAGGGACTCGGCTTCAATAATATCGTTACAGATGCTTACGTGGGAAATTAGCTATCATATTTAGAAAAAGTATTAATGAAAGGCAAACTTGTGACATTAGGAAGTCAGATCGAGTCGTTCTGGATGCGGGGATGCGGGCGTGATATTTGGTCCATTATAGGGCCTCTCGGTTTTTTATATGAATCAAGAGATTCTCGCTTACTTACAGCAGCATTGAATGGTAAGAACCAACTAGTATGAAACAGGCACAGAAGTAGTTAAAGGGATTGTCTGATGCCTCTCCACTTATGGCAACGAGAGCTCCACTCTTAATACTATGGACGCTTACAGAAAACAGCCTCAGTTTTAGACTTGGAATGTATTCCTTGAGAGCTTCTCCGGTGGAGCTATTACTTAGCAATACTTTTGGTCTATCCATCGTAGTATTCCATTGCTTCGAAACAACTCGGACATGTGGAGCAGGAATGTGGTTGGACTTGTTTTGCATAGTACTCTTCTACTTAACGAAATCTTGGATATATCTAGAATCTCAAGATTTTAAAACATATATTTACCCATAGAAGGTAGTATAGAATACAAAATGGCACGGGCTCACAGTAACCTATTCAACCTCCGACCTGTATTGTTCACAGTGGCCAGTTTCCAAGCTAACAACCTCAAGATCTTGAATCGACTATCATTATTCTTATCATGACTTCATTGAAATAAACAACACATAGAACCCCAACAACAGATCCGACATGAAAGCCAAACTACCGATGGGGCTTCCTACCATACACAAAATACAACTTCCCATACTGATGAATTGTGGTATCTAACAACTCCTTCCTCGCCCCTGCCATCAAAACCTCAACCTCGTCCGCGCCCCATTGCAGAATGTTTTGCAACAACTCCGGCACATACGATTGAATGCCTTGCATCTGCTGCGCCTGAAAGTACTTCCCAATGTCCTTCTGCTTCTTATCCAGCGGCCACGGACTAATGGGCACTTTGATAATCCTGCACGTCACATCCTCGAACCCCTCCTTGGTCAATCTATCCGCCCACTCGTCCATATTTGCCATTGGCTTTCCGAACTTGACACTGGCTTCTTGCATCAGCGAGCACATTTTCGTGGTATATGGTGCTCGGTCGAGGGAGTCGTCGTCGGCGTATACCTCCACACGGAAGCTCTGCATCTCGAAGTATCCACCCGGTTTTAGATGTCGGAAAGCTTGTCGGAAGAGTTTGTCGAAGTTGCTGACTGCGCCTGCTAGTTCGCGACCGTGGATGTAGTCGAAGGGCCGTGAATAGACCCAGTCTGCTTCGTAGTCGTCCACTTCGAATTGGAGGTTTGGGGGGATCCTTCAGGCTCGGTACGGAGTTATGGTTGGTTATCTTAACACTGAAGAACACAATCAAGGTAATCCTTACCAGGTGGGTTGGATGGGACTGAGATCGTTTCCTACGCTGGTCAATTAACAATTCCTAACAAGCAGACAGCTGCATACCTAATACTTCGGCAGATTTATACTGACTATAATCCGGACATATATGAGCGATATCCACCCCAAAAACGGTTCCAAAGGTATCAATACGCACTCAGCAAAGTCCATCGCCCAGATCCCGGTCCCCGTTCCCAAATCAAGGACTCGCTCCGGGTCGGACTTGATCGGTGCCATATGCAGCTCGCCATCGAGGATCAGGGCGTATATATGGTGGAGGAGGTCCATGCGGTCTTGCTCCTCCTCGTCGTTTGGCTGAACCTTTTTAAGCCATCTTGCCTGGTTCGAGGATGCGGATGCGACTCATATACCATTAAATATGCTCCTGAGCGGTAGGCGTGATATCTTCGGCCATTCTGCGCTCATTTATCTTTCGTACTGGAGATCATGAGTGACTTGGTTTGCGCGAGTCTTACCTTGTACCTGTGTATGCTGTTGTCAGTGCTTATCTGGAGATGTATACGCAATGAAGACTGGATGAGGATGCACCTACTCATAATTCAGAACACTCGATGCCAACGTAGTCACATCTAGCGATGCCTCATCCGCCGAGGCCCAGTCGCTATCCGAGGCTGGGGATGAATCCTGCTAAACGACACCTTAAGGTTAATATAGACACAGGTTCAGAGACCTATGGGAATTCACCTCGATATCGCCGGCCATGAGAGGCTTCAATCAATATACCACACCCCGAACAAACAAAGACAGCCGTAGGACAATCGAGTGTAGGTAGTGGGGGGAAATGAGCATGTCCATTCACGGGGATTCTGGACTGAACATACGACCCCCAACAAAAGTACGGCTTTCGAATCCCGAGGCAAGACAGGCGGGATCTGGTCTGCTACGTACAAACAAAGACATCCAACAAACTCTATTCGCTGATGTCACTTCCGCAAACCAGCATTCGTGGAGCCCTATTAGGGCCAGGTAATCCTATCCTTGTCACGACGGCTGCATGCAGGGTGGAATGCCCAATCAGTCCTCTCCCTTGCTTGGGTGATACGAGTGATTAGGCCATTTTACCCCTTTAGCCTTGAATCCTGATCGTTTGGTCTCTGGCTATTAGTGTTACGGTCTAACGGTGCTCTGTTTAGGGCAGAGATTGTTGCTTGGTGGGCTGGATTGGTGGATGGGCATGGCGTGGTTTCTTTGGGGCTTTCTTGGTGTCGTGCTTCTGTTAGTAATCGCTATATTGGTCATTAGGATATGTCTGTGGAAGTTCAAACTTGACCCTTAGTATACGGATCCTCTGTTACCTCGATATAAGTCTGCCTATATACATATCTCGTTTAGTATCCAGTATGGTTGTTAGTGAAGTTTCTTTGAAGGTGGGCCTTGCTCTCACTCATCCCGATAAAGACCTATCTCTATAAATAGTGCGTTAGACACCGACAATAATAGGTATACGTAAAGCTTTATGAAGACCACAAGCACACTTAATCGAGCATACAATAAGCAAGTTAAGATTCCCACTTGCTACATCCAGAGTCACGTCAATGGCAAAGTCTCATATCGCCTGAGACAGACAGCGATAAGCATCAATTACATCTCACCTTCACTAAGTCTTCTTGCCATATCGCCGAAATATATATGACAAATCGATATTGTTCCTTTTATATCGAGAAATTATTACAGACATCAAAGTTCTGAAGCCAAAAGTATCAATCATAGCCTTCATAAAACATTCAATTTATGCATGCATAACCTACATGACTAATCTGCACAACACCGCCTTGAACCATCCCCGATAAGCATACAATCAATCATCACCATCCTTCAACTTCTTCCTCAGCCACCACTGGCTCACAGACTGGTCTCCAACCGGAGCACCGGCGAACAATCCCAAACGAACTCATACAAACAGCCACCCCCCAAGTTTCAAACCAAACACGCCACCCGCAAACGCCCAAAATGCAGGGCTTCAGTAAGATCCCTACCCCACGGCAAACGCACTCCGCAAACAAAAACCTAACCCAACAAACTAGATATGGGACGGTACGTCCCCCCAGACCAAGAAGGTCTAAAGAGCGGCAACCAACTCGCCAAAAAACACCCCCTCGGTTCGCGCGCCCGCCACCTCCACACGACCGGTGCCCTGACCGTACGCTTCGAGATGCCCTTCGCCGTCTGGTGCACGACCTGTAAACCCCACGAGACGATCATCGGCCAAGGGGTGCGCTTTAATGCCGAGAAGAAGAAGATTGGGAATTACCACTCTACACCGATTTATAGTTTCCGGATGAGACACCCCGCGTGCGGGGGGTGGATTGAGATTCGCACGGATCCGAAGAATACAGCGTATGTGGTTGCGGAGGGGGGCAGGAAGAGAGATACTGGGGAGGATAAGAGGGAGGGTGGGGTTGGGGAGATTGTGGTGAAGTTGCCTGGGGAGAAGGAGGAGGTTGTTGATCCGTTTGCGCGGTTGGAGGGCAAGGTCGAGGATAAGAAGGTGGTTGATGAGGGGCGGACGAGGATTTTGGAGTTGCAAGAGCGCCAGGCGAGGGACTGGATTGATCCGTATGAGATGTCGAGGCGGTTGAGGAAGACGTTTCGGGCGGAGAGGAAGGTCTTGGAAAGTGCCGAGGCCAACAGGGAGGCGTTGAAGGATAAGATGAGCTTGGGGATTGAGATTGTTGACGAGACAGAGGAAGATCGTTTGCGGGCTGGTTTGGTCGACTTCGCTCCTGGAGGTGATACTACTGCTGTGCGCACCCGGCCGATGTTCGAGTCTAGGAGTGTTTCAACGAAGAAGCCTACTGGTGCATCAACTGGAAAAACCAAGGACGGGAAGCGGAAGAAAGCGGCGGATGTCGTCGAAGAACGCAAAGCGATGTTTCGCAGCGAGTTAACTGGGAATACCCGCGCCATCGTTGATCCTTTCCTTAGCCATGAGGGAAGCCTGTGGCAGCCGGATGTTAAACGGCGTAAAACTGCACCGAACAAGGCGGACACAAACAAGACACACAACCAGAATACAAGCAGTACGGCCAGTGAGGATCAAGCATCTTCCGCATCGAAAGATTGTTCAATCGAAGTGAGTGAGACCGCCAGCAAGACACCAGAACCGCCCACTGCTTTGGTGGCTTATGCTTCGGATTCAGAGTAGTTGTGTCCTGGGTTTTTTCAAATTTGGCGTTCGGTGATAAAAATGATACCCCATTGCATTGAAGTTCTTTATTCACATTGTCATGGAAGCAAAATGCTATGCATCATGTACATTATCTCAGATGTCATTAGACTATGTATACTTAAAGAATAAGGGAATATATGTTATATCATATAGACAAGAAGTAGCAGCAACTTTTCGTCACCATATGCCATCATGTTATCTTGCCCAGGGAGCTTTCGTAGTAATATCATTGGCATCACCAGTAGGGGCCGGCCCAGCTGGTTGCGAACTCGCCCAGGGAGCTCTGGTAGGGGCCATGGGACCTGGAGGAAGTCTGGAGGTATCGGGAAGTGCTGATGGTATTCTGGACGTAGTAGATGACCCTCCGCCAGCTCTTGCAGTTGCCCACGGCGCCGCAGTTCCGGTTGATGGCGGTGGAATACTCTGAGATGCGGTGGCCCAAGGAGCTTTCGTTCCCGGGCCCGGTCTTGCCTTATAGAACCAGGCACCTCTCGTGGCCGAGATTCTGGTCCAGATAAGGTATGAGCTCTGGGGGGCGGAGGAATAGCACTCGGATCGCGATCCCAACTAAACAGCGAGCCAAAGCGAAAGTGTTGGACAACCGGGAACTTGGAAAGCACTTCGGCATTGTACATTTTGATCATACCCTGCAAGTATCATTAGTCACTGGAGATGGAAAGTGAGATATTGGTCTGACCTTGTTGATTTTGGCCCAGCCAGCCGGGACACCGGAGATATCATATAGCATTTGGCTATGCTCCCAAAATGGACCTTGCTTAACATCGTATATGAAGCCAACGGCGGAAAAATACATGTTCACTCTTCGCTCTTTCTCTACAATGTTCGCTTTTGCGACACCTGCGGGGTCCGGCGCATCGGGCAGTGAGCCCACCTCGGGCACTAGGTCCGAGTCCGATATAGCTGGGCTGAATTGTGCCGAGCCAAAGATATAGGGAACGAAAGAATGATCATCCAGGCCCCAGACGCCGTGGGAGCCAGCAGGCTCCAGTTTGTACTTTTTGATAACAGCCCGCACCAGTTCCAGGTACCTAGACCAGTTATAAATCAGTCTCGATTAGCATGTAAAGAGGATTTAGTATACGAACGGTTCTATCACGCCGATGACAATCGCCCTTTCCTCTACGCCGGGACTATTTTTAGGAAACCCGTTTAGCTTCCAGATCGCTGCCAGGAATGCCAGAAAGCTCAGTTCATGTCCGGTGCCATAATCCATTCGCTCCCGGCTACCCCAGCTGCCTAGGAAGTACTCCATTAGCTCTACCTCTGCCGTTGGGCCCTCTGGATCCGATGATGGAGTGTGTAGAATTTCCGAAGATAAACACTCTTCTAAGAAGGAAGATGCATTCTCCTTCACTTTGTCCTGCCAATTACGGTAACCCTTATCGGCAAATCTCCGTTCACCACCCACCAGTGGTGTCGCATGAAGTAATCCTTCCAGCTTCAGCAGTAACTGCTGTAGCCGCCGGACAGGGGCGGAGAACTCGACTACTTCGGACTTCAGAGGCCACGGCTGTACACGGCCATCTGGCAATTTAGCTGGGAACATTGATCGGTTGAGCTGCAGGAGAAACGTCATAATATCAACATAAGCTCTGGAGCATAGAAACTCCGAGACATCATCGGTTTCGTTGATTCTCTTGCTGGGCTGGAGGAAAATGTGCCCCACCGAGGGGTCGATGGTGAGCAACGAACGGACTGAAAATCCGTTTGTAGCCATTGCGGTTAATTACCGGCCGTCTGATCTCAAATATAATATCTTTCAGAGCTTCGACCGGTTGTAGTGGTGTAAATTGTATATGAGTGGGGTGACACCACTAGTAACAGAAAGCAGCGTTGGGATTTAAGTTGTTGTTGTTTTTGGATCGGCCATGACGAAATTTGTCCGGGGAGGCCGAGTTTAATTGGGTAGTGCTGCTGGTCCAGCACCTGATCCACTCCTTTTCCCCTTCAGGTAACGATCATTCATTACCTAGTTCTCTGCTATACAAGGACCTTATGCAATGATCCAGCATCATTCTCTCCGTCTCACAATTTTTTGCTTAGTGATTAACAAGCTTCTAATCAAAGTACAGATGGATCGGATCATTGGCATTTGGCTTTCGTTTCGACCGATGACCACGGTGGTCAGTCGTGAATCCCAGAAGGTCCATCAAGGCATCGAGTCCCTTCTCTTCAACACATAACACCAGCTCAGTGCGTCGTAGAGTATTCGACTCTACCTCGGCAAGCTTTCCAACCAAAAGCTTGACTATCGGCTCATTTCTGGCTTCTAACGCCAACAGTAACGGCGTCCGGCCATAACCATTCACTTCCACGGACTCCATCTCGGCGCCGTTCTCTAGGAGTAGCCTTGATATTCCTTCAAACCCATTGACTGCTGCCCATGCAAGTGGTGTCCAACTAAAGCCAGAATCTACTGAATTTACTTCGGCGCCTTTCTCAATCAGTAGCCTCGCTATGGTCTCATATCCTTCCGCTGCAGCCCAAATGAGTGGTGTACGGCCATACTTATAGTCAAATGCCTCCACATTAACCTCCTTGTCTAGGAGTAGCTTCACAATTTCCTCAAGTCCACTCGATACGGCAAACAAAAGTGGTGTCCGGCCATATCGATCCGTTGCCTCAACTGCGGCGCCATTGTCAAGAAGCAGCTTAACAATCTCCTTGAAGCCACCTAGTACAGCGAGCGAGAGAGGTGTTCGACCAGACTGATTTTTGGTGTTCATTGAAGCACCCTTTTCAATCAATAGCTTTACTACTGCTTCACATCTGCTTTGGGCAGCCATTGACAGTGCTCCGTTGTTGAACTTGTCCGCCGCATCAACTGCTGCACCATTTTCGATGAGTAACAAAGCTACTGCTTCGTGTCTGGAGTCTAATGCCAGTAACAGCGGTGTCCTACCAGCATCATCTTGAGAGTCTAATGCAGCACCATTCTCGATCAGTAGCTTGGCCACGACCTTGTGGCCCCGCCTCGCAGCCCATGATAATGGTGTTTGGCCTTTAATATCCCTCAAGTCTACTTCATTTTCTGTCAAGCATAGATGAAGTACAAGCGCATAAACACCAAAGAAAGCTGCTATATGAGCAGGGGAGGCCACAAGGCACAACTCATTGTCGTTGTACTTAGCTTCGTACATTTCTCGGTATAATAAATGCAGGCCTGCCCTATTATGAGTTGATACGGTGCGGAGATATTCGCGGGCAAGTTCCAACGGTGCGTCCTGCAGGTGTTCACTCTTCCGAAGGTGGTGACCCCATTTGGTAGCAGCGTAAGGCATAAGAGCGGTTGTCATACTATTATCTTCTGAACTCATTGAAGGGAAGCTTAGGAAAGTAAGGCATGTCCGTGCAATTTGATTGTGCCACTGTACTTTGCTGACCCCAAATAACTGGTTTTGCTGACAGAGATATTCTTGAAAAGAATAGTGAACCAACCGTACAGTGGAAGTTTCCTGATCAATCAGCACTAACCCATGACAACAGTTGATCAATGTGCTTCTAACAGGTATGCCTCTCAAGTTGAAAGCTGTATCGTTGTCTTCGATCGCAAGTGAGCACAGAAGCTCATCGATGGCAACTGGTCGTTCTGCTAGATAAACCCAAGCAAGAATCTTTCTTGCCTGCTCAGATTGTGCACATGGCTGTTCCTCTATTCGCATCATTGTACCCGCGAAAGCATCCCCGAGATCAGACGGCAATGTTTTCAAGGCCTCCTCACGACGCCGTATCGTTGTAGCTTGCAAGATAGCATGAACCTGTAAAACAGGCAACAGGAATCTAAGTCATAAAGTTAGCGCTCTGGAAAATAAAATACCTGGCTGCACTAACAGGCCCTTAGCTGACTCTATAACTTTGTTCTGAATGTCCATTCTCAGCTTCTCGTCCATGGCGTCCGGCTCAATATCGTTCGGTCCACCAATCTCAAGGTCGATGAACCGTCGAATATCGTCATCATGTGCTTCAATGAGAATCTCACGTTTCTCCTTCAGATGTCTCTCAACTTGTACTTGAACGTGAGGCCGACCAGTAATATATAGCTGTACTGAAGATGATCTGGCCTGCAAGGATATCAAGAGGCTCCTCTGGTCCCGCAGTTCATCTAGTGCATCCAGGCAGATGTAGACTCTGCTGAATTGCTCACATGCAATGTCCAGAAACCTTTCTGCATCAGGTAAACTCAAGGGATTCTCCTGCTTGACGCGTGTTTCATAAATCTCCAGGATTCCCTGAGGTGTCTCGGACAAGTGTGCTAATAATTGCTTCACTATTGCCCCAAGAATATTTTCTACAGACTGTGCTCTCTGGTCACGATAATCGCCATAAAGGTACGCTAGTCCGATTGAACCAAGGGGCATTAGCTCTCGTAGTCTGTCGATTACGATAGACCTGTCCTGATCCTTTAGCTCTTAAACATGGTAATGAAAAGAGAATGTATTCTACTAACGAGACGATTGTTTTTCCCGCGCCTGGGTCGCCGTAGCAGCAGAGGGTTCGAAAACCGGGCCTTTCTGATGACCAATTGAGAAAGTTTGGGTCTTCAAAGATCCACCTTCCAGTATCTTCAGCTCGTCTTTTTTGATTTTCAAGATGCCTGGCTGAGGGGCTGAGTGGTGACAGCCATCTGAATAAGTCCTTCTGTTCCTGATTCTGGGCGAGGCTCTTGACGATCGTTTTGATCTCCGAAACTGGATAGACAAGTTAGCAAGACTGGCCTGAAAAATCTGCAATCAACACTTTCAAAATGAGTGAATGCATCCGTCATAATATTGAGAATAGGTGACTGCGTCATATTTTGGCCAACATTGAGGATAAATGATCCACAGTAAGATGGAAGAGTTGCAACTAACGATTATCCATAACAATACTGCGGGCTTCCGGTGTGTTTTGGATGTCCGAGGCGTCAGTAACCTGAAGAAGCTCTTTTGCATACGCAGCAGCAGTAGCTGCAGCATACTTCTGCCATCGATCGTTCTTATGGGTATCACAATAATCACATATTCCACGAATGATGAGACATGGGAATTGGTTCATCAATCCCGCGGCTTCCATCTCAAAACAAAGACAGTTCTTTGCTAACAGGTCACGAACTTTCGCATCCTTGATGACCTTATTACCTGAAGCGATAGTGCCATAGTGGATGCAAGGCTCTTGATCCAGCCGTTCAGGTCGTTTGATTTCCTTCTCAGGATCACACGCGCCGCAATCTTTTGCGCCATTCTCATGTATACAATCAGAGGAGAACAGCCGATCATAATTTGCGCCCTGGTAAATATATCCTGGTCCTCTGCGTGATTCTGCCATTGCTGGATAATCCGTGTACATAGACTCCAGTATATCGGGTATGGATGTGCCTCCCATCATCTCATGGTTGCTTTGAAGCTCGCCCATCGCATTGAGAAGGGCCTCGGGAGGGCAGTTCAGTGCACCACACTCCTCGAAACCATGCGCAGTGACCTTGCCGCAATCATATTGTCGTACGCCTCCGAAGGCGCCTGTTGGTTGACTAACCACAACGTCGCCCAGGCGGATGTCATGATCCTCACTCGGAATACCACCACCAATGCCAACCATTAGCCCGAACTTGATACTGGGAAAACTAGAAAGCATCTGCGTAGCAGACGTAGCCGCAGTGACGGTTCCATATCGACCGGATGGAAGACTGGCAATGACCACGTTATGTTCCCCATTTGGGCCATTTATAGAACCTAGCGTATAGCTATTATGATCTTTGGCATGTTTGTACCGCGGCGGCGCATGCACTGTATCAAGCATTGCCTTGGCAGCTGCTCTTTCATGAGGCAAAGCAGCGATCCAGCCGACAGCATACTCTGAATTGTCCAGTTGCGGTAATGAGTGACCCATCGTTATGTTTTGTATATCATAGCGTACCGTCAGGCGGCGGTCGTTCGACGTGGTTGGCGTCTGGATATTTTGTTGGACTATCGGACAATAATTCAATACTTTGGTTAGAAACAGAGTTCTCAATTGACTCGGCACCCATAACTTCAAATAACCTGCATCTTGAGTATAACTAAGAATTCATATAATGCGTCGTGGCCGGTGCCCAATGCCTTGCATATTTTCTCCTCGCCCTATCAGGCTGTTATAATAGCCGCCGAGCTCACAGGGAACCCCACCAGATTGCTCAGCCCCGCCAGACTCCAGGCGCGTAGTACGGCATATAACGTCCATCCTAGTAGGACAGTCCAGGTAGAACAGCTTGATGGTTTGCCTCAGAATACCACAAGCCCGATACACAGCCACAAGTCGGGCTGAATGTAAGACAAGAAGCAACATCCAACTGATCACGATCAATCAAGGTAAGCACTCAATAAAAATACCTACAGATATCTGACAGTTCAGAAAAGGCAAACTTAGAAGCAGGCGCGGCGTATATTCGGGAATAAGCTGTGCATTAAACCATATATGATCTTTGATATAATGGAAATTATTCTTTAAAGAATTTAGGACCTGTTAGATCTAGTCCTAATCACTCGGCTGTGTCACTCTTGAATGAGGGAACATCGTTGCTATTAACCTGACTATTGAAGTAGTTTACTACTGCTCACTGGGGTAATTGCGCTTTCTGTCTTAATTTTACAAGTGCTCTACCACTCTTTTCTCATCATTGCTTTGGACAAAATGTCTGCGTCTGAGTCACCAACAGTTTCCTCGGCGTTGGATACTGTGAGGGAACAAAGCGTAGCTTTACGATGAAATCATCCAAGCTGATAGAGGCACAATGAAGACCGATTCGATTCATTCCGTTTCATTGATTCTCGATAATACCGAGATATGATACGCAGCTGTGGACGGAATCACCATCATTGAAACAAAGAGTGAGCACATCTGACTCTCTAAAGTCTTCCCTCCCCTTTATACAAGTATTTCGCGGGGTATAGCCTTTGTGATCGGAAGGCTTTCGCATATTTAGACCTGAATCTCCCTCATATCTCATGTGCCTGGTCTCTGTGAACCAGGTTCCACTGGTCAAAAACTGTTTCTCTTGAATATTGATCAAGATGCCACTCAGATTCGATAGGCTGCCTCTACTCGTTCTAGACGTAGTCTTCGAATATGTACCGGCTAAGGAACTTTCCCAGTATATGTTAGTCTGTTACTGATATGCTGCAGATTCGTGAATCAGCGAAGACACTATGCAGTCTGGCTTTAGTGAATCACGCCTGCAATGATTCTGTTGCCCCATTCCTTTATCGGAATCTGGAGATCAACATCTACTCGCCACGAAAGCTCTGCAAAGATTTGGCAAAAATTGAAAAGAATCCTCGTCGCGAAAGATTGATAAAACATGTGCGCCACCTCAAAATCTTGGGTTGTATGCATTTGAGTGGGTATGGTTCTGTAAGGATACCTGTCAACGAATGCAAGCGAGCAGAATACGAGAATGCAGTCAGTGAATACTTTGGAGAGGATTTGAGTGATGGGTCAGAAGAGGATATATCCAAAGCCTGGACCCCTCTCGCCGAGATGATTCAGAAATGTCAGCATCTTACAGAATTGATCTGGATCTGTCCTAATCAGCTTCCACCGTGCATATTACAGGCCGTTCAACAGTCTCATCCAGCGTGTCATCTCGACATGCGGTCGTTCCGTCTCCGAAGTCTAAGAGATGCGACCACCAACCCACATGAGCTAGATCTTGTTCAATCACCCTGTCTACACAGCATCAACATGAGAACTGTCTGTAGTCACCGGTTCCAAAGGCCAGGTTACAATGAAAATGCTATATTCGAGGTCGTGACTCTGGCCCCCAATATCAAGCACCTCAGTGTGATTCATGACCAGGAGCCCACATATCAGACTATGTCGCGCGCCCACGACAGATCATGGAAAGGATTCGTGCCACCTCCAACGGATTCACATAAAGGGGCTCTTGTCTCGCTTTCGTATTTCGGGAACCCCGGTGTATCGGCGGAGGACATCGCAAAATGGTCTAATTGCACTGACATGTCCAAGATACGCTATCTGAGACTTGGGGGGTGTCGGACCCCCAAGTGTTCGAACGCTTAACGCAGAGTGCCAAGTACATGTCTCTTGATCTTCTAGGGCTGGCATTATATCCGGATAGTGATACCAACGAACAGCTTCTTCATGCCCTGGAGTGTCTTCTAGAACAGTTAATCCCCATTAAGGAGTTTAGCCTTGAAGGGTATTTGCGGTTATCTATACTTGACAAAGTCATTCGTCGTCACGGGCCGACGCTGCGAAAACTAGACTTGCATCCTAACTCGGGTAGTTATGACCCATCGAATCTAACAGTGATTCGTAAGATCCAGAATCAATGTCCGGTTCTAGAATCGCTGGCTATATCTCTTGCGAACCCCGCTGTCGAGATCCAGGATGACAGCAGCCTCCTGAGAGTCTGCTCATCACTTCCGCACCTTTTTGAACTGGAATTGTGCGTCTCACTTAAATATTCTGCTGTACCAAAAGAGGCTCCCCGCAAGATTTGGGACTTGATTGAACGACACAAGGGAGGATGTCGTTTAGGCCGGCTTGTAATCTCCAGCCTTATTGTTAGTCTTCCTTCCAACCATCTCATAAGGGTCAAAAGAAAAGATACAGAAAAAGGAGCAGAACATAGTTGAATGTAAGCACGTACTGACAATGGACATAGAACACCGTCATCCTGAGTAGACGTGAAGGTGAGATGAATGAAGAGGTTGAGTCACTTTCTTTGGGTAGAATCAGATGGGAAGAGCTCAAAGAGACCAAGGCTCTTCACGGGGATTCAGCAGTAGAATACCATCATTGTGTCTGAGGTTTATACTCATCTCTACTGGCTTCTTTGTTGGTTTGGATACCGGATACGGCTACTAAGTTCTCATTTATTACAGGCTAGAAAGTGATTTAAACAAATATTCAAGAATTTATATCGCTGTATTAAACATTAGGAGGGTTAGCTTACTTCAAGTGTTACTTTTGTTTTATAATTTATATTGGAATGAGAGTAAAGATACTTTTTGTCTTTCCCCTTATTTGTGATGGATGTGATATATAAACTGATAGCCAATAGACTTTTACAAAAATCCAATAGATTCCCCCATTGCTAGTATATAATTTTCTTAAATCAACGAAATACAATGCATTTCAAGGACATTATATTACACTCCAAAGTACAAACCCTACTATATACCCACTATATACTAGCATTAAATACTGATATCTAACCCAAGGATACAGAATGTGAAAGGGTCTAGACCAGCCAGTCAAACCCGCAGCGTTTGTTTTTCCGCTTAACTCACCATTAAATGTTTGCTTTATGACCGCAACAAAGGGTTCCATTCACCCAACGACCTCAGGTCGTCGTCATCGCCCCTTCCAAATAATCCCAAATGTAGTACTCCCCGACCAAAGATCAATCCAAATGAGCTCCCGATCAACTCCACGACGGAGAAAAGTCGTCTCGACGTCCCACGCGCTGGACCTTCTAAACAACTTAAACGCCAACAACAACAACAACGTCACTCGCCAGCCAAAGTCCAGCGCCCGTACCCGTACCCGCGCCCGCTCGTCCCGTCGCCGCAAGATCGACGACGTACCATTTCCCCAGAGTGATGATATCTGGGAAGTCCCCGATGATACAAATCATGATCGAGCTGGACGCGTCCCTGCGTCGGAGCCCTTGACTCCCCGTCGATCGTCGACTCGGTTGCTGGCGAAATCGGGTGGGAAAACTACGTCCTTGAGAAAGGCTACGCGTCGCGCGAAGGTGAAGTCTGGTGGGAAGGAGGGGGAGAGGGAGGCAGGTACTGAGCCTGAGCGTGAATCTGAGCCTAGTCCTGAGCCTCAGCAAGAGTCTGGAGGGTACTCTGAGAATCACCACGACAAAGAAGCGGAGGAATACACCGGCCGGGTTGAGGAAGACCAGGGGAGTGGTGAAAGTGACGCGAACTATGTGGATGTTGTAGAGGGCCACGGAGACAATGGGTTTCCCCAACCTGTGCTCGATTCGCCTCATAACGTCCCTCAGTCGAACCGACTTTCTCCCTTTGATATTCAAAAACGGGTGTCAGATCTAAGATTAGCTCTACATGAGAGAACGGATGAGAGTGGCGATAGATCGAGAGATGAATCGCAGCATGAGCCTGAAAGTGAATATGAAACGCCGCGCGATCGATCACCAGAGCAGCCAGATGAGCCACGCTCTGGCTCTGATGATGCTGTCAGTGCTCACGAACATCAGAGGAGCTCTCCCCCCGTCGGTGTCGTAAATCCTGTTACGGTCAGGAGCTCTGTGGGCAGGGCAGAATCGTCAGCTCGTTCGCCAGAGTCCTCCAGAGGGAATACTCTACCGGAGGACACCTCGCAGCATTCGCATGTACAAGGAGAATCAGGGGGCTTGGCTGATGGAGTGGAGCTCGATGAGGCAGAGGATGGGGGCGACCGAGAAGACCACACAAGCATCGCCGTCGGGGACAAGTCTTCGGTTCATGGTCCAACGGATGATGAGGGCAGCGTGAGAGATCGCCCCATACGACCTGGGTTGTTTAGGTACGAAAGCGACCCAGAGGACCTGTCTACGCCGCCAAGCAAAAGACGTCAAACCTCGAATCAACAGCCAGTCTCAGAACGTCAAGGACGGATTCGTCGAAGAAGCATTGAGACGTCTCGAGCTGTCACCTCGAACAATCACGAAGACCAGACCGAGCCTCTACAACCCCGTCACAGCCCAAACGACACCGAACAATATGCTGAGGATATATCCGACGATTACTCCGAGGATGATTTCGACGAGGAGGAGGCATGGTTGCACCAGGCACTCAAAATGGCTGGCCAGAAGAACAACTGGGACGCTTTGGTGGTTCAAGCTCACCACGTGCAAAAAACCGATAACCCTTCTATGGCCGAATACTTTGATGACTTTGGGGATCTAACTTCCACATTACAACAGAAATATATGGAGATTGTAGGCTACCTAAACGCCGGGCGTGGACCTCGCCACGCGACCGTGCGTGAATGCGATGAGCTCCTGAACGCAATTCGCAGTGATGGGACCACTTCAGTGGACTATATCGTCGAGCATAAAGACGACGAACCAGAAACAGGCCGACCCAGCAGTGAAGAGACGCTGGACGAATTTGAAGCCTGTCTGGTATCAGGAATGATGGGCGTGTTGCTCGCCTGTTTCGAAGCTTACTGCAAGGAAGACGGGCTCTTTCCCAAAGCCTACGAACACCTGCACCGGGTGCTAGATGTGTTTTTACGACTATGCTACAAGATCTACTGTGTAGTCGATGCGGGTTACGTGGACTCTGAGAACCGTAGCCATAGTCTGCAGCTCCCGCTCAAGAAACTCATCATTGCGTTAGAGAAGGACTTATTTAAGGGCAGCGCGCCGCAACCGGAGCCTGTGCCAGCCATGTCCATCAAGCATGGGCGGAGATGGACCGACGACGAGGGGTGTGCTCTTCTCGATGGATTGCAGCGTTACCAGGGTAGGTCTAATCTGGATCCACATCAACAATGAAAGAGGGATGCGAATGCTCACTACTTCAGGTCGGGATCGCTACGCTCGAATCTTAAAACATTTCGGGGATCGGCTCCGCGGGCGGACGATCCGGGGTACGCGCGAAAAAGCGAGACAGTTGCATGACAAGCTTCTGTCGACGGTGGTCAACCCCGAGGTCCTCCAGACGGAGGAAGGACGGCAACAGTGGTACTGGCTCCTGAGTGTGCGGGAGGAGTGACGGCTC